AAAGAGTCAAAAGAGAACCTACAGATTGGGAAAAAATATTTGGCAATGACTCATCTGACAAGGGACTTATCTCTAGAACTAATAGAAAACTCCAACACCTCAATAACAAAAAGACAAATAATCCAATAAAAAATGGGCAGAAGATATGACTAGACACTTCACCAAGGAGGATATTCACGTGGCCAACAAACATATGAAGAAATGCTCATGATCAATTATCCATTAGAGAGAAGATGCAAATCAAAACGACGAGATATCACCTTGCCCCAGCACTAGTAGTAAAGTTCAACAAGACAGAAAATAACAAATGCTGGTGAGTACGTGAAGAGATTCGGACTCTCATACGCTGCTGGTGGGACTGTAGAATGATACAACCACTGTGGAAAGCAGTATGGCAATTCCTTCAAAAGATGGAATTAGAAATATCATTTGACCCAGCCATTCCATCACTAAGTATATATCCTAAAGAAGTGACAGCCATGACAAGAACAGACAGAGCACATCCATGTTCATCGCAGCACTATTTTACAATAGCCAAAAGATGGAAACAACCTAGATGTCCATCAACTGAGGAATGGATAACCAAACTATGGTACATACACACAATGGAATAGCATGCAACCCTGAAGAATAATGTAGAATCTGCAAAACACTGTATAAAGTGGATGAACTTGGAGGAAATTATGCTGAGTGAAATAAGCCAACCACAGAAGGACAAATATTGTATTAGTCCATTATTATAAAAGTCAAGGAAAGGTTTAGATATGGAAGGAAATTTTCTTTGTGGGTTACCAGGGGTGGTAGGGTAGGGAACACTGTTAGATAGGTAGAGATAAGTATTGATTTGGGTGAAGAAAAGGGCAATATACCAAATGTGAGTGATCATCATGGTAGCAATGAGGAAGAGGAAGAAAGAGAGAGGTACACGTAAGGTACAGACAACAAAGACAAACCCTTTTGCACATACAGTGCTGCATTGTCAATGAAGGCAAACATGGGTATATGGGTAGATAGATGGGTGGACAGGCTGAACTATTAAGTAGGTCTATGTAGCGGGAAGTATACTCATGACCATGTATAGGGTTGGCAGACAATAGTCCTATAAGTGTATTTGTATGATCTTTAAGAATTCCCCAGTGTATAGTAGAGCTGACAAGGGACAAGGTTGTAGTTACTTCTTGGTCACAGCCATCTACCCAGAGGGACCGAGCAGTTGAACCTGTGGGCTCAGGACCATAGTTGCAGGGGACATCAAGCTCAATTGGCATAACATACTACACAAAATATTGTTCCACCTCCTACTTTGGCAAGTAGCGACTGGGATCTTAAAAGCTTGCAAGCAGCCATCTAGACCCAATGATGGGTCTCTCCTCGTCCAGAGCAAGTAAGAATGAAAAAACCCAAAGAATTATGGAAACAATTAGTCCTGGTGACTGCTACACCACATGATCCACGGCCTATATGACTATGAGACCAGAAGAACTAGATGGTGTCCAGCTACCACTGTCAACCACTCAGAGGGGGATCTATGTAGGAGATCCTGGATAGAGAGGGAGAACAATGTGGAACAAAATTCAAAATCATTTTTTTAAGAAAAAGGGGGACAAGGTTTGCTGGTCTGATAGAGCTTGGTGGAACCACTGTGGCTTCCAGTCAAACAAAAGGTAACTATGAGGAGGAAGTGGGAGGGGAGCTGTTGCATTGTGGTGAATTATCGTCAATGTCACAAGATAAAGTGTATATGAACTGCTGTATGGAAAGTGAATTTGCTCTGTAAATTTTCACCCAAATCACAATTAAAAAAAGTTGTCACATCAATTTTGACTCATGGTGATCCCATGTGTGTCAGAGTAGAACTATGCTCTGTACAGTTTTCAATGGCTGATTTTTTTCAGAAGATCACCAGGCCTTTCTTCCAAGATGCCTCCAACCATTTTGGTTAGTAGTCAAGCATGTTAACCTTTTGCACCACCAAAAGACTCCCAAGTAAGATAACGACCATTGAATTAAGCTATATGGAAGTCACCAGTGACCCTGATGATCTGTTTCAGTATTAACCCTCATCTAGGAAAATATGTAACTTAGTACCTACCTGTAAAGCTGCATGCTCCTTTTGAAGATCTTTCATTTCATTCTGTTGCTGACAAACCCTATTTAGGGATTCATCCTCCAATTCACCAATTTTAGATTTCACACTCTCCATAATTTGTTCCAAGTCATTAGCTCGTTGTTCCTGATCTGCTGTTCGCCTTTGTTCCAGCTGAAGTTCATTTCTAATTTAACAGACACATAATTCCTTCCCTTAGTAATAAAAATATATCAAACATACCCATCTAACAATATACTTACTTTCTAAAATTATACTGCATTATTAAAATGTCATACAACACAAACTAATACAAGACATAAAGGGCACCATGACATATCTAAGCTAAACTATAACCGTAATATTTACTATTAAAAATATTTTTCTAAATCTTGCCCAATCTGCCTTCTGAGGCGTAGCAGGAGCGTTTGAAGCACCAGCCTTCTGGTTAGCAGTCAAATGCCTTAGGCACTATGCCACCAAAACCAAAAAACCAAATTCACTGCTGTCGAGTTGGATCTGAGTCATAGCAACCCCTCCCTGGGTTCCCGAAGCAGTATCACTATGGAAGTAGATTGCCCAATCTTCCTTCCAAGGGAAGGCTGGTGGGTTTGAACTTCTAGCCTACTGGTTAGTCGTCAAATTCCTTAGGTACTATGCCACCAGAGCTCCCTAAATCTAATATTTAATCAAAATTGAAAACTAAATTTCAAGATCCTCTTTAAGGAAATTAATTTTAGAATGTATAACTTGCATACAAATAATTTAAAAGAGATATTTTCCATTTTCTTACTTAAGCTGCTGATTAGTTTCTATGAGCTCCCGTATCACGTTCTGTTGACGTGCTGTGTCTTCCACCAACGTCTGAAAATTCTCTCTCATCCTTTGTGATGATTGTTTGTCAAAAACGATGAGATCTATGATAATATTTTTAAAATGTAATACAGATAGCAAAAATAAAGGTAAGGTCAAAAATTTTATGACAAAATTTGAAAAAAAAAACCAAGCTTTTTACCTTAAGAAGCAAGAATAGGGTATGATTACCTTTTAGATCTGTTCTTCTGACTATGGACAAAGGTTTTAAGCCATGTGTCATCAACAGCACATTTATGCTTTCCCATTCTGCTTCTTCTTGCTACAATTACAAGGAGAGTAAAAAGGGTAAGCTATAAAGTGATAAAATATCCTCTTATATATATATAATTTCCTTTGTTTTCAGACAACAGAACTTTTTTCCAAAGGTTATCCTTAAAATGGAAAATTTTTATGCATATATAATAACTAAATTTTACAAATAAATTTGTTTTTAACAAAATTAACAGTAGATTTGAAGAACGCAAATAAGCATAAATCATTGCATTATACAATCACAGAGTATTAATATCGTACACCTTAATGGATAAAATAAAACAAATCACCTTATAATTTCAATGACCAAGCAGACCTAAAGCTTTATATTTAACTGAACCAAACCTGGCTTTGCTTAGAAAAAACAGCTGTAAAATAGGTTCTATTAATAGCAAAGAACAGGTAAGTTACTCAGAAACAAGTATCACTTTAATAATTAGAATCACACACAAAAAAATCAAAACACCTGTCTATAGTCAGAGCCTATAGTTTAGATAATTCCTTATAAAATGAACAAGGTCTAACTATACAAAGGTGTCTGTCCATTTGGGTAATGGATTCTAGTATAATCACCTTGAAGGGACTTTCAAGTCTCATATCCCTGAATCTAAACATGTATTTACATTTAAACCTGAGAAGGGAACCCCAACTCTCTAGAGTAAGTGGATAAAAACACAACAATGAGAAGAAAACAACAAATTAGTAAAAAAAAAAAAAAAAGGAACAAGCATATAACATTTGGGTAACACTAGAAATAGAAATAGAGATGATTAAAAAATAAATTTAAATCCATGATATTAATAATTTTATAATCAGTTTTTAACAGAAATACAATGATCCATCTTTAATTCACTGTGAGGTGTTTTACTTTTTAAGGTGTTTAAAGCTTATTTCAATCAATGTTTAAATGCTTCAAGAAAATGTAATTTATATAATTCTTTTTACTAATGGTATAAATAGACTGTAAACTTTATAAAAGCTTAAATATTAATAATTTAGACAAACAGACAAAGCACAAATAAAAGTATTACTCTCTACAACCAAACATTCCTCAGACATTAAAGAATCTAACAATACAAAAAAATAGTCTTAATGATTCTTTGATAGTATTATGATTCACAGTGCCAAAGAGATCTTTCTTTTTGACTACTGACTTTTTTCCTTCTTTTATTCTTCCTACATTTATCCAGAACAGGTAAGAGGGAGACCCCCCAGGCAGGAAGCGGCAGGCAAGACCGATGGTCAGAACAGGTAAGAGGGAGAGCCCCCAGGCAGGAAGCGGCAGCCAGGGCTGACAGCTGGAACAGGTAAGAGGGAAAGCCTCCAGGCAGGAAGCTAAGGGAGATGAATTTATCTGCCAGTTTGTCGTAATATGGTAGCTTGTGTGTTGCTGTGAGGCTGGAGGCTGTACCATCGGTGTTAGTGTTCCAAACACCAGCAGGGTTGCCCATGGTGGACAGGTTTCAGTGAGCTTCCAGACTGAGAAAGACTCAGAAGAAGGAAGAGGCCATCCACTTCTCAAAGAATTGGACAGAGAAAATCTTATGAATAGTAGTGAAACACAGTCCAATGTATTACTGGACAGCTTTATGAATAGCCCTGAAAAATTGTCCGATACAAATGCCATAAGGTGAGCCCCTCAGATTGGAAGGCACTCAAGATATGACTAGGAAATAGCTGCCTCATCAGAGTAGAGCCGAACTTAACAACAGGGATAAAGTAGAGCTTTCAGGACCTCCATTTGCTGATGCAGCCCAACTCAAAATGAGAAGAAATAGTTGCAAACATCCATTAATAATCAGAGCATGGAATGCAAGAAGCATGAATCTAGGAGAATGGGAAGTTGTCAAAAATGAAATGGAATGCATAAAGATTGATATCCTAGGCATTAGTGAGCTGAAATGGATTGGTTTTGGCCATCTGAATCAGACAACCATATGATTTACCATGCCGGGAATGACAAATTGAAGGGGAATGGTGAGGCATTCAATGTCACAAAGAATGTCTCATGATTTATCCTGAAGTATAACATTGTCAGTAATAGGATAATGCCCATACACCTACAAGGAAGGCCAGTTGATACTACTATTATTCAAATTTATGCACCAACCACAAAAGCCAAAGATGAGGAAATTGAAGATTTTTACCAACTTCTACAGTCTGAAATTGACCAAACATGCAATCAAGATGTGCTGATTATCACTGGTGACTGGAATGCAAAAGTTGAAAACAAAGAAGAATCACTGGTAGTTGGAAAATTTGGCTTTGGTGATAGAAATAATACTGGAGATCACATGATAGAGTTTTACAAGACCAATGACTTATTCATTGCAAATACATTTTTCAACACAAATGGCAGCTATACACATGGATTTTACCAGATGGGGTACACAGGAATAAGATGGACTACATCTGTGGAAAGAGGTAATGGAGAAGCTCAGTATCTTCAGCCAAAACAAAGCCAGGAGCTGACTGTGGAATAGACCATCAACTGCTCACATGCAAGTTCAAGTTGAAGCTGAAGACAATTAAAACAAGTCCATGAGAGCCAAAATATGACCTTATTAGAGACTGTCTACAGAATATATTTGATGCCCTGAACACCAATGACCAAAAGCCAGAAGAACTGTGGGACAACATCAAGAACATCATCCATGAAGAAAGCAAAAGGTCATTAAAAAGACAGGAAAGGAAGAAAAGACCAAAATGGATGTCAAGAGACTCTGAAACTTGCCATTGAACAAAGAATGGCCAAACAGCAAATGGAAGAAATGACAAGATAAAAGAGCTGAACAGATTTCAAAGGGCAGTTTGAGAAGACAAACTCTATTATTATAATGAAATGTGCAAAGACATGGAGTTGAAAAGCCAAAAGAGAAGAACATGCTTGGGATTTCTCAAGATGAAAAAACTGAAGAAAAAGTTTAAGCCTCGAGTTGCAATATTGAAAGAGTCTATGGGCAATATATTGAATGATGCAAGAAACATCAAAAGAAGATGGAAGGAATACAGAGTCACTGTACCAAAAAGAACTGGTAGATCTTCATCCATTTCAGGAAGTGGCATAGGATCAAGAACCAAAGGTGCTGAAGGAAGAAGTCGAAGCTGCACTGAAGGAAGTAGCAAAAAACAAGGCACCATTAATTGACGGAATACCCATTCAGATGTTTCAACAAACAGATGCTGCACTGGAGGCACACACTCGTCTATGCCAAGAGATTTGGAAGACAGCTACCTGGCCAATTGACTGGAAAAAATCCATATTTGTACCCATTCCAAAGAAAGGTGATCCCATAGAATGTAGAAATTATTGAATAGTATCATTAATACAGCACACAAGTAAAATCTTACTGAAGATAATTAAAAAATGGTTGCTGTAGTATATTGACAGAGAACTTCCAGAAATGCAAGCTAGATTCAGAAGAGGATATGCAATGAGGGATATCACAGCTGATGTCAGATGGATATTGCTGAAAGCAAAGAATACCAGAGTGATGTTTATTTGTGTTTTACTGACTATGGAAAAGCATTCAATTGTGTCGATCGTAACAAATTATGGATAATATTGAGAAGAATGGGAATTCCAGACCACTTAATTATACTCATGAGGAACGTGTACATAGACCAGGAGGCAGTCATTTGAACAGAACAAGGGGACACTGCATAGCTTAAAATCAAGAACAGAATGTGTCAGGGTTATATCTTTCCACCATACTTATTCAATCTCTACGCGAGTAAATAATCTGAGAAACTGGACTACATGAAGAAGAACGTGGCATCAGGATTGAAGGAAGGCTCATTAATAACCTGCGATACACTGATGATACAACTTTGCTTGCTGAAAGTGAGGATGATTTGAAGCACTGACTGATGAAGACTGAAGACCACAGTCTGCAATATGGATTGCACCTTCAACATAAAGAAAACAAAAATCCTCAAAACTGAACCAATAAGGAGTTCCGGTAAGATGGGGGAATAGGCAGAAAGACTGCACAGACCCTCTTCAACAAAGAAGAGGAAAACCAATTAACACAGACACAGAAGATAATCCTGGACCCCTGAGCCTTGAAGGGAAGGATATAGAAGTGGACTAAACCCCAACTAGCAGAATTTGCATGAAAAT